CACCAGGGATCAAACTCAGGACCTTATTCTTGCAAAGCAAGCAGCAGAATCACTGAGCTAAATCACCGGCCCTATCCTACTTTTAATCAGGGCACTTTTTTTTTCCAGTGTACAATCTCTTTGCAATATGCATATTGGTCTGGATGCAAGGGAATCTGCAGTCAGTTTTCCCCCTTGCATGGTCCTCTTTTTTTTAATAAGATCTGGTCTCTCAAAGAGGACTAGGCTATGAAGGCAGCACTGTCCATAAGCTGAATCTCAGGAACCTCAGGATCAAATGGGGTGAAGATGCAGAACACCTCTCAGAGTCACTCGTAAAAGTCACCAGGTGACTCATCTAGGTTTTTAGTCACTAAGGCCATTTTTGATGTGGTTGTTGGTTTTATTAGCCCCAGCATGGACGCCCCACCCCAGGATGGCCTCTCAAAATCGTGTGAGAGGGGTGTGAGAGTCCCAGGCTGGCTTGGTATCAGGAACTACAACCTTTTCCCCTTCTAAAGGGGCTTCATCTGTAGGCATTTCTTGGCCTTGGTGAAAATTCTACACCTCTCCCAAGTGTTGAGGAGGATAGAGGGAGCACCGGGGTAGCAACAGTCTTTCAGCAATGCCCCTGCATCGCTCCCAGCCTGCTGCCAGCCCTGCTGTCACTGGGAGGACGCACAGCTGACAAGGACAGCATCTCTGGAGCCTCCACCCTCCAGAGGGATGGGACGTACCTGGAAATACTTGAGCATATCGAAAATGGACTGGAACTCCAGGTGCTGGGCCCGGCACTGACCCTCCTTGTTCAGTGACAAGTGCAGGTGCTTGGCTTTGCCCTGGAAACAGTAAGTGAGGACATATTCGCCCTACCTCACCTCACTCTGATGAACCAGGAAGGCACCATGGGAGCTGATACCTCCTTCCAGCACTAACTGGGTGGTCTCAAGTCGTGAGAACATCCCAAGGAACAAAGGGTATCCTGAGAGGGGCAGGTCCCCTTCCCCTTCCCCCAACCCCTGGAACAGTAATGACCCTGTGGCTGTCTCCAGAGTGTCCAGGGGAGGTTAGGGGGTTGAGAGAGGATGAACTGTCCCTGCTAGGGGACCCTGCTCAGTGGGAATGCAGGGGGGCAACTCTGGGGGAAGCAGTTCCATCAAGTCTGCAATGGAGGCCAAGCTGGGGGGAATGGATGCAGACTGATGGTCTGAAAGGCCTTCATATACCCCCTGAGAGGGGCAGTTGTTGACGGTACAACCTCCAGCATAAGAAGGAGTATGTTGTTTCGAGCTCAGAAACTCAGTTGTGGTAAAGGACTGGCAGTAGAGGGTGGCGGGACCAGGCTGGATGGTGCCATCATCCAGGATTTGGGAGAGAAATAAGATCTCACAGACAGGCAGCTGGATAGCTGGGGTCTGAGCCGACTGCAGACGCCTGGCAAGAGGTGTCTCGGGGAAGCAATCTCGTCACCATGTGGGATGCTGGGGGGACTGGAGGCGGCAGCCAGAAGAGGCAGATAAGGAGGGCTGGCTAGAGATGGACATTGGGCTAGAGATGAGGGATTCTGAAGAGGGCTGGCCACTTGAGCAGGCGGCAGGTCTGAAGATGGGCTACCAGACGAGACTGGTAATAGGGAGTTTAAAAGTGGTGGGCTCTCCAGAAGAGTTGGAGCCAGTGGAATAGGCACAGATGGCAGCTCTGGAGCAAAAGGCAGGGGCAGGGTGTCTGTCTAGTGGGCCCTGATGAATTGGGCTCTTAGAGAGGTGGCCACTACTTTGGGCTAAGAAAACCTGACTCTGTCCCTTCCTATCCATGAAAAATCGGGCCTAGGGGAGTAGGGTCTGGTCAATCTCTAGCCAAGAATCAATATAAGGGATCTGATCAGGGTGGTTTATCAGTAAAGACTCTCCAGACTGCATGCACAGTCTGAACATCCAGAATTCCTTCTGGGGACCAGCCTACATTAAACTAGGGCCAATCTGCTTCACAGAGGGTCTGCAACCTGGCGGACTTCAATCTTAACTCCATATTCCTCACTAAATCTCTTCTTGAAATTTCTGACCATGCAGTCCAGGACTGTGGGTTTACTATGGTTGTCACCCATGTATATGTAGTGCCCTTAAACTGTGGCACAACAAAGGATAGGAGCCTTCCAAAGGAAACCACATAGGTGTCCACCTGGCCATGTCCCTTGAGGGAGCTTAGGCACATTTTGGCTAAGGTACACAGGCAATCCCCGACCTGGTCAGCTATCCATCAAAAAGCTGAATCATCATTATGCTGTACAACGCCTCCACGGAACTGCAGGATAAGACCCAATCAGATTCTGGAGAAAAAACCTTGGAGCCACACAGACCAGTCAAGGAGGACCACACCCAGTTACACTCACACATTCACTAGTCACTCAGAGGTTAACATCTCCCCTGCTTAGGGAGGTCACTGAATGAAGTCTCTGGCTTGAGACCGTAAGAGGTGATCAACCTCTCCTCCTGTCCACTGGGACAGGCCTGATTGGGTTCAAACTGGGGACTGGGACTTTACTGTACATATCAGGATGTTCTGAAAGGGTTTTTAGTCCACCTCTTCTCCCAAGTCTGATCAGGTGCGAAGCAAGTGCAGTCATCGGTCACCCTCACCCAATGAAGGAAGAACTGCCACTCTCAGACTCTGAACCAGTAGCTCAAAGGGCCAGCTTGATCAGATTTCTGGTTCGTTAACCAAATGTCACAGAGCAGAGCAGCTTGGTGCTATAGCCAAGTGTTACAGCTCAGTGTCACAGCCAAGTGCCATAGCTCTGAGGCACAGCTGTGTGTTACAGTTCTGGGTCCCAGCGATCACAATTTGAAGACACAAGAATCCAATGGTCACTCAAAGAGGTGGAGAATAAAAACTTCCTTACACCAGCAGGCTCAGAAGAGTTTGCACTCAGAAGTCTGAGCACTTGACTAGAAACAGCCTCTTTAGGGTCTACTGGGTAGGCGAGCATGCTCACTGAAGCAGGGGGGCGGAGTTACAGAATGTTCTCGAAGGGCATAGAGGGTGAGTGTGCTCACAGAAGCAAGGGGATGGGGCTACAGAACATTTCTGAAAGGGGCGGGGCTAATGGAACATTTCTGAGAGGGGCAGAGCTAACTGAACACTCAAAACAGTTACAAAACATTTTAGCTTCACAAGCACAAGGTCCCAAGTTCCATCCCCAGTACCAAAACCAAAACAAAACAAAAAAATATTTTAATATATTGGGCAGGAGCTGCTGCCCAGCAGCACAAACTTACATTTCTGGAACAAAACATTCTGTGGGAAAAAAGCCGTGGAGGCAAGGCGAGAGCCCATCTTATCACATAGCATTGTTCTATCACCTATACTTGTAATCCTATTGGTTGATCATAGTTTTGTCCCAAATTTACCCACCTGGTGATTTTGTACCCACCTCAGGATTTTGTTCCATAAAGCTTCCTCTGTAAAGTGGACTCTGGGTCCCCTCCTGTCTGTCTCAGGCGCTTTCTCTCTCAATAAATATTTCCTACTCTTAACCTCTGTCGTTCCTCAGAATTTATTCTTTGATTCTGGAAACACGAACTCAGTGTATGGCACATCCTTCAGGTCGGAAGCTGTTATTTCCCCTCTATCACTTGGAGGTCCTATGTCGTGAGTGTGCTGCTGTGGTCACTGGGCCTTTGGGCAAATGTCTTATTACCCTTCTTTCTCTCTCCTTGTAAGATTGGGTCTCCGCACGTTTCTCAGAGACTTATGTCCATTGATCACCCTGTCCCTTTGAAGTGGCCTTCTTGGATTTTGTCCCAAAGCAGCAAATGTCTCAGGGAATGACATGCTACCTGCTGCTAGTTCACCTTGGGAGGACTCTTCTTTTTCTTTTTTCTTCTTGTTAGTCATTTGTTCTGTTTCTTTCTACCACTCTCCATTCTTTAAAAACTAATACGAGGGCCGGGGATTTAGCTCAGTGGCTCCACTACCTGCCTCGCAAGCACAAAGTCCAGAGTTTGATGCCCGGTACCAAAAGAGAGAGAGAGAGAGAGAGAGAGAGAGAGCAGTATTATACAAAAAACTAAATGAATCCCCTCGTGTTTGTTTTTTCCAACTCTTGCAGTTGGGAAGGGAGTAGCCCGCAGATTTACTACAAACTACCCAGAACAGAAGTTCTTCAGTTCTGTTTTTACCATTTCCAGCAGAGATATTATTTCACTTAACATTTTCATTTACTCACATGTAAACTTTTGTTTTCTCTTTTATTTATTTGGTATTGGGTTGTTTGTTTTGTTTTGGTACTGGGGATAGAACTTGGGACCTTGTGCTTGTGAGACAGGTGGGGGCACCTCCCCAGCCCTTATTTGGTATTGGGCTTGGACCCAAGGACCTCAGACATGCTAAGCCCATGCTCTACCATTGAGCTATAACTCTAGTCCCTGATTATTGCTGTTGTTATAACACAGAGTCTTACTTTGTAGCACAGGCTGGTCTTGAACTTGCTAGAATCCTCCTGCCTCAGCCTCCTCAGTGCTGAGATTACAAGCATGTGCTACCACACCTGACTCACAGTTTCCTCTTTTAATACAAGTTATAGGGCTATCTTTTCTCTCTTTGAAGTCAAACTACTTCCCGATTTTCTCAAGGGATGCCAATTTTACTTCACGGTTCCCTTTTTTAAAGGTTTATGTGTGCTGCCAGGAATGAAACCCAAGGCCTTTTGCACACTACACAAGTGCTTTACCACCCAGAGCCACAAGCCCTGATCTACACACCCAGACCTACTTCATGGTGTCCATCCCTCCCCACTCCTGTTTAGTTTTTGTTTGTTTCTTTTTTTGAGACAGGGTCTCACTATGTAGTTGAGGCTGACCTGGAACTATGTAGCCCAGGCTGGTCTGGAACTCAGTGATCCTCCTGCCTCAGCCTTGTGAGTGCTGGGATTATAGGTGGGCACCACAATGCCTGGCCCATTTGGTTTTTTGAGACAGAGTTCCACTATGTAAACCAAACTGGCCTTGAATTTGCAGTCCTGCTTCAGCCTCCCAAGTACTGGGATTATAGGCATGCAACACTGTGCCTAATACTTCGTGGTTCTTATTGCTTGCGTTCTTACATTTTAAATCTGTTGTGGCTCTTGTTTGGCAGTTCAGCCCCATACTACTGTATCTTCTTGACCTTTGTTATTTCTGCTGGGAATATTTCCAAGGGACTCAGAGGAGGCGGAAAGGGCACCCGATCTGACTCTCCAGCGCCCGAAGCATCTTGAGAGATGAATTCCTTGGAGAAGCAGTTTTCCCCTCTTGAGCCACATCAGTCCCCTCTGAGCGAACCTTAGTCCTTCCTTGGCCTCTCCTCTCCTCCCAATTTTATTTTCTCCTCCTAAATTTTACACGACTTGAATGCATCCACAGTGTCAGCCACTCTCTGACACTTATGACCCAATGACTTTCACACTTCCATCTGGGCTTCCAGACCACTTACCCACTTTTTATTTTTCAGGCCCCTCCAGTGTACACCTCTAACTGCTAAACCCCTCGTTCTCACCACAGCTCTCCGGCTCTTGCGGCCATCCTCCTTCATGGAACAGCACCACCATCTGGCCAAAGGCTGTACAACATCTCGCGCTCTCAGCCTCGGCTCTGGCTCACACCTCCAACTGCTACCAAATGGGCTCCGCCTCACCCTCCCTCCCCGCCCCGCCACTCCCCAGGACCTGCCTCCTAAGACCTGGCCTCCAGAGGAGTGTGTTGCCAAGACCGTCTGATGGGCACAAGTGGTTTTATTGTTTCTGGCCAAAGGACAGCCTGGCAGGAGCAGGGGTCAGAACAGACCTGGGGCTGCCCTTGCAGCAGTAGGGCTGCTGGTGGCGGGCACCTAGGACTGTAGGATGCTGTCCCTCAGTGTGCACCAGAGCAGCAGAGGAGGTACACTTCGGCCTGCAGATGCCGCAGGCTGGCGAGGGAGCCCCAGCCTCACCGGTGCCGCTTCCGGATACTCTGCAGCTCCTGGGAGATGGTGCTGAAGCTGGGCCGCTCGCCGGGCTCGTAGGCCCAGCACTGCTCCATGAGCCGGAACACGGCATCAGGGCACAGCTCCGGGCAGGGCAGGCGACCCCCTGGGAGGACAGGTATAGCACTGGACATGAGGAGGGGTCCCCTGGGGCCAGCTGTGAGTAACCGGAGCTACTCATGGAGTGCTGTCCCTAAACAGCCACTCTGGTTTACACCGAGGACCCCAAGACAGAGGCCAGCTTCTGTCCTCCACCTCCCACCTGCTGGTTATGTGACTATGCAAGGCTCAGTGTTTCCATCTGCAAAAGGGACCCATTGATCCCACCTTACATATAGGAAGAGCAAATGAGCTGATGCGTTTGGCATAGATAAGCGCTCTACTCGGGGGAGCTGCAGGATGATTCTGTTTTTGTTGGGTTTTTTTTTGGTACTGGGGATTGAACCCAGGGCTTTCATACTGAGCTTTTAAAAATTTTCCCCTGTTCTTTTTTTTTTCTTTTTTTCTTGAGACAGGTTCTCACTAAGTTGTCCAAGTTAGGCTCAAACTTGCAATCCTGCTGCCTTAGCCCCCGAGAGTGCACCACCATTCTTGGCTTAGGGGATGATTCTTACCTGCCCCAATGGGAAGGGCAGGGAGCCCCAGCCAATGGAGCTGGGCAGGAGGGCTGGCCCAGGCTGCTGAAATGCATGAGTCCCTTACCCTTCTCCACAAACTCTCGTGTCTGCTGGTTGCTGAGGTTGGGGTAGGGCGAGGACCCCAGGCTGAAGGTCTCCCAGAGCAAGATGCCAAAGCTCCACACGTCACTTTCAGAGGAGTAGCGGCCTGTGGAGGGAGTGGGGCAGAGTGAGGGTGCTGCCCCTCTCACCCTGCCCAGCCTCCCAGGTACAGCGCGGGCTGGATGAGGACTGGGTACCATAGTTAAGGGCCTCAGGGGCAGTCCACTTCACGGGAACTTGTCTGAGGCCCCCTGAAGCTGCGTAGATCCCATCAGCCTCCTCCCGGGACATCCCGAAGTCACTGATCTTTAGGACATTCTTCTCTGTCACAAGACAGTTCCGAGCAGCCAGGTCCCTGGATGGAGCAGAGCAGGGATCTCCTTCGGCTAAGGGTACCCACTTGGGCTGGGCAGCTCACTCCAGACCAAGCCAGGAACGGAGGTGCTACGTGCCCTGGGCACCCTGGTCTGTGGGAAGTAGAGATGATGCCTGATGCCAAGACCGTAGCTTGCTCACCGGTGGATGCAGCACTTGCTCTCCAAGTACTCCATGCCGGCGGCTGCGTCCCCCACCATCTGCAGCAGCGTCTTCACACGCAGACGGGCTCCCTCCGTCCGCAGGAAGGTCAGGAAGTCACCCCCTGGAGGGGGGCAGCCTTGAGCCTTCTGGGCTTGGGGGACCTGGCTGACTGAGTTCCCACCCTGGGATGGGCACTCCACTCACCTTGCACCAGCTCCATGACAATGTAGATGGGCTGCTTCTGGGTGCAGACGCCAATGAGCCGCACGATGTTGGGGTGACTGTACTGCTTCAGGATCCTGGGGGGACGCCGATGCTCAGCTCCCCACACTCTGCCCCTCCCGCCCTCCAGGAGCCCCCAAAACAACACAAGAAGGGCCTCAGAGTCAAGGGACAACAGCCTGGCCTCGGAGGCCGTCAGCCCTGGATGTGTGGTGGAGGCCTGACACCCCTGGTTCTATAGGGACAGAGTACGAACACTTGTGAGAGGGCTGGGAGGGTTCAACAGGACCACCGAAGGCAAGCACTTAATGCTGGCCACATGCAGCAGAACACTTCTGAATGGAGCCTCTGGTCATTATTAGTTTGTCACCCACCTGGCTTCTTGCAGAAACTTGGCCTTGAGGTCAGGAGGGAGTGTCTCCCGACAAGACTTCACTGCCACCAGAGTGTTGTCCGCTCGAAGGCGCCCGCTGAACACTTCGCCAAAATTACCCTGAAATGGTCTTGAGCTCCTACCAGAACTTCCGGTGCCTCAGTCCTTTCTGTGCTCAGGGTACAGTACCTGGTGCCCAACTCTCTGTTCAGCCCCCAAGCCCAGACTTGCTCCTCTGGCTCTCTAGGACTTTGCCCTGGTGGGCAGGAAAGTCACCTGTGACAGGCCAAGTCCCCAGAGAGAAGTGACAAGGAAAAGCCCCAACCTGCTTTCCTTCACGTTTGGAAAGTATTCTGAAACTTAGGAAAGTGACTTCCTTCCTAGGCAGCCGGTTTACAGCTCACATCAGAGCTGTGCTGGTGAGGAGTTTGGGGCAGGAACTCCATTCCCGGGGCAGCTTGTGGTGGTGGGTGGGCAGGGACAAGGGTCTAGGAGGGAAGAGCTAGAGCCCAGATGGGTCTCTGGAGGTGGGACCTCAGGTATGGCCTGGAGAGTGTGGCAGGGAGAGGAAAGATTTGCACTCACCCGCCCGATCTGCTCACCCAACACCAGGTCCTCGTGGTTCAGCACCCACTTGTCCTGGGGAAGAAGAGTCAGGGCATCACAGTGAGGGCAGAGTGGGGCAGGCCTCTTCCCACCGAGAGGTGCCATGCCATTGTTTCCTTGGAGCCTCCATATGGGCCTGTGTCTGATGGGGTTGGGCCAGATCAGGATCACACTCCAGTGACACTGGGGAGCAGCAGGTGCCCACCAGGTGAGTATAACCAGAAGTGCAGTCACACTCTGCGTGTGAATTTCAGGTACCATGAGCCCTTCCCACTCCAGTTATGGGGGCCCCTGACCCACAGTCCCCAATCCCTGTGGCCACAGGCTCACCTTAGGCACTGGCCTATAGAGGACAACACCGCTCTTCTTGGTGAGGGGCTGCTGGGAGCAGAGCAGGTGGTCGATGAGCAAGGGGATGCTTGGAAAGCCATCACCTTCCAAGCGGTACAGGTTCTGCAGGGAGGGGGCCAGGGGTCAGCAGCCTCCTTACTGAGGGGAGGACAGAGACAGGGCAGGGAGAAGGGACTGCCTGGGACAAGGCAGAGAGACCCACAGAACAGGCACAGCATGTGACATATGACAATAGTTCCACCCTTTCGTAGGGGAGGACACACACTGAGTCTTTCTCCTGTTGCAGGGATCCAGGTGGCTTCGGGCTCCATCCAGCCGGGGTAGGGAGGCATCTAAGATGTGCCAGCCCTCCGAGGTCATGCCCAAGGGTGGGGAAGGCCAGGCCAGGCCCCACTCACCTCAGAGGACTGGATGATAAAGTGGCGCGGCAGGGCGTCCCAGAGCACCGACAGCACATACTCCTGCTTGCCCTGGCTCTCCCGCACCAGGAAGTCCCCAGAGTTCGTGAGCAGCTCGGCCACCTCCGCCCGCGGGATGGCCCCGTGGTACCACAGCTGCTCGTGCAGGGGCTTCTGCACCTCAGGTACCAGTGGCAGCGGTGGGGGGAGCTGGACAAGGGGTGAGGGGAGCGGTTAGAGTCGCTCAGGGGAGCCAACTGGGCTTTGGGTCTCTCTGTCCATCCCACTAAGTCCTCACAGCCCCCGAGTAGCACATAAAGCTGTCTGTATACCTTCTCCTCCAGGTCACAGACTCCCGGGAGCGGGAGGAGTAGTGGGACAAGGTTCCCGCGGTACCCAGAGATAGGGAGGACAGAGAGGCCCAGGGTGGCGGGCCTGGAAGCACACGAAGCCCAGACTCCCGGGGAGAGGGATGCCCCAGTCAAAACAGCCCGGGCAGTCTGCTCCCTGGGCCGTTCCCAGCGACTCAGTCCAAAACACCAAGGGACGCACCTGAGATCCCATACGTGGCCCACCCCTTAGGTCCAGGCCCGGGCTGGGCACCACTCACCGAGAACTTGGGGCGGAAGATTCCTGAGAAGTGGCTCTTGATGATCTCTAGCGTGGGTGTCCTTCCCCCCTCTCGCTCCTGCTCCTGAGGCCAGGGACACACGTCAGCGGGTGGCCAGGCTTGGGGAGGGGGAGGGTGAAAATGAGGAGCACGGCCCCTGCGCTCACGGCTGCGGCGGACAGGGCTGGCGGGCATGGGCGGTGGGCGCTCACCGAGGACGAGGTGGAGTGGCGGTCGTCCTGCAGGAGAAGCACGGCTGGGGCCTCGCCAGGGCCCAGCTGCTCCAGCTTGGTCTGCAGCAGCTCCTGCTGGGCCTGCAGCTTGGCCTGGCTGCACAGCGCAACTTGCAGCCCTTGCAGTGCCTCCTGCAGCGCCTGCCTCTTGCTCAGCAGCTGTACCCTGTAGGACAGCAGGTGGCAGGCAATAAGAGACCAGCCTCTGTCTGCAGCCCCCCAGGGAAGGCCAGCAGGTCGAGGGGCCAGGGAGGTGTGTAGGGGTCCCACTCACCACTCCCGGGGGTGAGTATTCTGCTCCTCACTCCAGAGCTCTCGTTGCAGCTGGCTGACCACCTCCTTCCGGCTCAGCACGGTCTCAGTGGCCACCGCGAGGTCATCTGTCACTGAGGTCAGCCTGGAGCCAAGGCAGAGCTTTGTTAGAGCCCCAGCCCCAGCACGTGTTCTGCAGAATCAAGCAGCCTGAGTGTCTGCCAAGTCTCAGCACAGCAGAGCACACCCCCACCTGCCCACGCGACACCTGCGGTCTGCAGGGAACCCCGGGCCCTGGGCCAGCCTGCCACCCACGTGTGCTGCACGCTCTCCACGGTCAGCTCGTTCAGCTGCAGCTCCCCGGGCTCCAGCTGCTCACCCTCCTCAAGCAGTGACTCATCGAAGGTGACACAGGGTGGGATGTCCGGGTTGGAGCTGCAGATGGACAGGGCCCCCTCGGTGAAGAGGCCAGCAGCCCTGGCCCAGCAGGTGTGAGGATGAACGCGCTTACCCATACTGTTGCAGGAAACCCTGGTACTCAGCCTCGGGCTGGATACGAGCTGTAGCTGCAGCCATCTCCCGGTGAATGGTCACCACCTCGTCCTGCACCAGGCTGCTAATCTCCAGGTACTCCTGCAGGATCTCCTTCCTGTCCCCCAAGACAGGACCCCCAGTCAGGGGGCCTTGGGCTGGGCAAGGTGAGCAGTTTAGCCTGGGACACTGGGTTTGACCCTACCTCATTGCATATGACAGCCACATGATCTTATAAGGATCCAATGGGATCCTGTGTGCAGTATCTGGCACCCCAAAAATGCTCAGCATATGTGAGTTACTGGCCTGGTGGTCAGTCTGAGCTGAGGCTCTGGGTCCCCTATAAATGTATTGCTGTATCCTGTCTGTACCGCCAGGGGCAGCAGTCCAGAGCTCTCCTGTGCCCTGGCCTCATGCACACATCCACCTACTCAAAGTGACCATTGAACATAGATCACTTTGACACCTGACTCTCCTAACTGAAGGACACAGTACTGCCCTGGCTGCTGAAATGTCCCCCTTCCACGGCCATCTCAACATAAGCTAATGGCAACTCCATCTTCCAGAGACTCCAGGGAAAATCCTGGGAGTAAGTCAGCCTTGCTTCTGTGCCTCAGTCCACTTTGATTCCACAAGCAAATCCCCTTGCACTGCCTTCAAAGAACACCCTGGGCCTGACTGTCTTTCACCTCTTTGCTGTACCCTGCTCCAAGTGGCCACGGTCTGTGCCCTAGATCCCCACAAAAGCCTCCTTCCTGTCTGGCCTCCATGCTTCTATCCTTGACCCTTAAAGTCAATCTTCAACACCACAGTCAGAGTGGCTTTTATTTTATTTATTTTTCAAGGTGCTAGAAATCGAACCCAGGGCCTTTGCACTTCCCTAGCCCTTTTTTTATTTCCTATTTTGAGACACAGTCTCCCTAAGTCACTACATTGCCCAGGCTAGTATCAAACTTGTGATTCTCCTGCGTTGGCCTATCTCAGTGTGGGATTATAAGGGTGCACCACTACACCCTGCACAGTGGCCTTAGTAAAATAGAGGTCAGATCATGTCACTTCTGGGTACCCAGAACCAGTTCTCACAGAGGTCTGCTCTGTCATCCAGCAGCCCCCGACCCAACTCCTCCAGCCAAGGTCTGACTGTCCCTACCCTCACTGCACACCCTGCTGAGCCTCCTGGCTCCTGGCACTCCCTGACGCAATCCCTATACACATGTCCATTTGCTGCCCCAACCTGGAATGTCTTTCTCCACAGGGCCCCATGGTTCACTTCCATGCCTCCCTGGTCTTTTTTTGAATGTCACCTTTTCAAAGAGGTGTTATTTAAAACAAACTCTTCCCCAGTCCCTCAGCCCTCCCAATCCCCCACACTAGACTTTTCTCCATAGCATTTGTTTTGGACGTGCTTCGAGAGTTTGTGTGTGTGTGTGTGTGTGTGTGTGTGTGTGTGTGTGTGTGTGTGGTACTGGGGCTGGAAGCCAGAGTGTGCTCTACTACTGAGCTCATTTGCAGTCCTTTCTTACTTTGAGACCGGGTTTTGCTAAATTACCCAGGCTAGATTGAACTTTCAATCCTTCTACCTCGGCCTCTGAAGAGGCTGGGATGACCAGCATGTGTCACCATACCCAGTTCATGCTTCCTAGTTCACTTTCTTTCTTTCCTCCTTCCACTAACATACAAAATCCCTGAAGACAGATGTTTTTGCCCACATTCTTCTCCGCTATACCCCAGAGCCCAGCATGACGCTGAATGAATGTTATACAATCCTCTGACACGGGGACGGGAGGGGGGTGGCCCACGTCTGCAAAGGATTGTAAGTTTGAGCCCCGCCTGGGTAATTTATTGAGACCTTGTCTCAAAATAAACTTTAAAAAGGGCAAGAAGTATAGTTTAACACATCCTTGGGTTCAGTTTCTAGTAGTATAAACAGCCCCTCCCAAAAAAGCACCCTGGGGTAAGGGGCCCTGGCACCCTAATTCCGGTGTAAGTAGGGTTCGGGTCCTCAGCCTGGGACCAACGCTCCTATGACCACATGGCCAGCACTCTGGCCTGACAGAGAGTTCTGGGGCGGGGAGGGTGCTCACAGCACGCGTGCCATCTCCTCGTGCAGGTCCTGCAGGGACTGCAGCAGGCCGGGCAGCAGGAGCTGGTGGTGATGCTGGTGGTGCAGCTGCGCAGCCCGCACACCCAGCACGTAGCGGTTGTGGTGAGCAAAGAGTTTCCACAGGCTGCGCACATACTTGTCTTTGGCCTTGTCCCGGTCCTTGTCTGCCAGTGGGAGGGGAGGGAGGGAGGGGAGGGAGGTGTGGGTGTCAGCACCGCGGACAGGTCAGCAGCCGTTAAGTCCCCTCCCGGCTGGTGAGGGAAGCCACAGACCTTTGCTGGCCTCCTGGTACTTGCGCCTGGCTTGGGCACTGTCCCGGGCTAGGGCTCGGTACTGGCTCTTCAGCTTCTCGATGTCCTGGATGTGGGTCTGAGGGGACAGGGGGCCAATGTGGGGAGCTAGGTCCCCTAAGCATGGGAGATTCCTCCTCCATCTGAAGGTTTGGGTCAAACTGGGTGTGGTGGGACATGCTTGTAATTCCAGCACCCCGAGGAGGCTGAGGCAGGAGGATCACAAGTTCAAGTCCACCCTGGGCAACTTAGTGACCTAATAGCAACGTCCTGACTCAAAGTAAGAAATAAAAAAGAGGTTGGGATGGAGCCAAGAAAAAGCTCTGACCAGTTACAGACAGGCCACCGGGGGAGGCAGAGAGCTGGTTAGGGCAGGTGGGGCTGCTTCAAGTGTGTGGCCTTGGTGGCTTCGCAGGGGCCTAGTGAAGGACCCTGTGCTTGTTTTGCACGCTCTCTTGTTGTCATGGTGAAATTAGCTGGGCGAGGTGGCACACGCCTGTAATCCCAGCACTCCAGAGGCTGAGGCAGGAGGATCGCTGTGAGTTTGAGACCAGCCTGGGCTACATGGTGAGTTCCAGGTCAGTCTCAACTACCTAGTGAAAACCTGTCTCAAAAAAACAAACAAACAAAAAAACACAAAGGCCCCACATTTTCCTTTCACACTCAGCCCTGAGTGGCAGCCAAGACCAACATTCTTGTTCTCCTATTTAGGTGCAGGGATACATTGAGAAGCTCTATCCCACTCCTCAGAACCTCAGTTTCCCCATCTGTAACTGAGCTAAAAGCATAGAGTACACCAATCTTTTCATTTTTAATTTTTGGGTACTGAAGATTGAACCCAGGGACTTTGCAGTGGGCCACATCCCCAGCCCTTTTTTTTTTTTATTTTGAGTCTTGCTAAGTTGCCCAAGTGGGATTCAAACTTGTGATCCTTCTGCCTCAGCCTCCTGGAGTGCTGGGGTCACAGATGTGGGCCACCAGGCCTGTCTCCATTCTCCTTAAAGGGACAAATAGTAAATATTTTAAGCCTGTGGGCCTCAGGGTCTCTGTTGCAATCACTCACTTCTGTCCCTGTAGCCCTACAGCAACCACAGTTGACAAGAAAACAGGCAGGCCTGGTTGTGTTCCCCTCAAACTTTACAGAAATAGGCAAAATCGCTTCTCGGCCTTTTGGCTAAGATCAAGTGCAGAAATAGGCAAAGCCCTGAATGAGTTGATCTTCAGGAGGAGGAATGGAGGCCCAGCTGGCCACCAGGGGCCGCTGTGGGTGCATGGCCAGGCCAGCCGGCTCGGTGGGAGAGAGGAGGTCCCTGGCAGCCAAGGGACTGGAACACCCAGACAAGTAACACTGCCTGCAACTGAGGGGCTGGGGGATTCAGACCTCTACTTCACCCTCAGGGTCATGCTGCTGTCTGCAGAATCCCAGAATCTGGCAGTGTCTCTGCCCCACCTCCTCCTGGGCAGCTGGGTCTCATCCATCCTTGTGTCCCCAGCACTGGCCAGGGCCAGACAATGCTAAAACAAGGCGACTGCAGGCCACCCCAAAGGGTGGTGGGTGAGGAGGGAGGAAGTGGCTGCAGGGCTGGGCCAGCTGTCCTGAGGCCTGACCCACTAGGAACTTGCACTTCCCCAGTAAAGGCCAGGGCTGTTGCACAAAGCCACCCCTCCCAGGCTGCACTGGTGACAGAGACTACTGAAGCCCCCTGGATGCTACCCACCTTGGTGAGCTCCTGCTGCAGCTGCTGCCACTGCTCACTGTAGGTCTTGCGCAGCTGCTGCCGTTCCCGGATCAGCAGGCTCAGCTTGCTCAGTGGCCCAGAGTTTAGGTCCTCTGCGTGCTGCCGCAGCACTCGGCTCAGACCCTCGGTCTGGCTGGTGATCTCGGCCCAGGACTGTGGAATGGGGAGGCGGGGTCGGGGGGAGACAGTGGCTCCTGAGCTGGCCAGATCTCAGGGGTGCTCAGGAAGTGGGTGGGCAGGCGCAGCCACCTCCTGTGGGAGCTCACCTGGCTGATGGGGCTGTCCAGGCCACCGCTCCGGCTCTGGCCCCCAGCGTCCTGCAGGCACATGTGGTGGAGCAGCCCTGCGTATTCCCGGTCGCTCTTGACCCGCTGGGCCATCCACTTCCTCATGCCCTCCAACAGGCGAAGCTCTGCTTCCTGCATCTGCTGCACTGCCCCATGGCCCTGGGGGCTGCACAGCTGAGAAGAGAAGCCCATGGTGGCGTCCTAAGGACAGAGATGAAGCTGTCGGTAGCTGGAGGTACACGGGTACAACAAAGGGGGATGGGGGCTGCAGGGGGAGCTGGGGACTGCAGGAGGTGGGTGGGATCCTACCCAGCAGAAACAGCCTGGCCTGGGGCTGGCCCTTGCTGCTTCCTAGACCCTAGGCCAAGGCCAATGCCAGAGGTTTCCTTTCCAGTCCTACAACAGGAACCAGCCTGGAGCCTCCCTCCTGAGCTCCTTGCACCCAGCACCGATACAGGGGCCTGTGCTGGGCTGGACCTGCCCAAGTGGGAGCCTCCCTGGCCACAGCCCAGCCCTGCTTCTGGGGCTGTCCTGCCCTCTGCAGCTCGACCCCTACCTGGCTTTCACTCCCTGGAGCCCCACCTTGCAATGCCTCCTGGGCCACTGGGCTGGAGTTACCCTCGCAGGCAGCTGCTCCTGTTCCTGGGCAGCTGGGGATGACTTAGGCCCGGCCAGTTCCTGGTTCGGCGCTTCCTCCTCCTGCGGTTTCAGTTGGCCCAGGCCGGGGCGGGCCACAGAGGGGAAGGGGTGGGTGAGTGTGGCCAGCCCCTCTGCCCCACGCTGGGCTGCAGCAGCCTCCCTCGGAAACGGAAGGGAGGAGGAGGTTGGGGAAGAATGGCCGAATGGCGGAGGGAGCAGAGGCCTGTGGGCCCAGCACTCACTCCCCAGGGCCAGCAAGTCCAGGGACCCTTGGGAAGGGGCCTGAGGCAGGAGGGGTGGGTGCAGGGGCCTGGCTCCAGGCAGCCAGCTTGTTGGAAGGCTGAGACGGCTGGGACTCAGGGTGGCCAGGCGCCCAGAAGAGGAAGGGGGAAGCTAGTCCTGGCCCTCCCCACCTCACTGGAGTCCCCAAGGAGAGCTCAGGCGCCAGCTCCATTTGAATAAAATTTCCAAGCAAATATGGAAAGAAGCCTGCTTCTCAGGCACTGGGCCCACCCCCTCCACCCAGGCTGGAGCTTTCAGTCCCCTGGGGATGCCAGGGGGTAGCTGGAGAATGCAGAGGTGTGCAGTTTCCCAGGTGGGACTCAGGCTCCCCTGGCACGAGTCACCATGGGACTTGGCCCTATAGCTGGAGCCTGGACACCTCAGCCCAGGAAGAGGACGGTAACTGAGGCACAGGCCACTCTGCATCCTGCTCAGCTCCTGAAGCCTAGAGTCACTCTCCCTACACCTGGGACTCCTGTCCTGCTGCTGTGCTGTCCTCTTCACAGGGGGCTGGCCTTCTGCTTCAGGCCCACCTAAGGGCCAGGACTGAGTCTCCCCACCCTCCTGATGGGGTAACAATATCACCACACCGGAGACTGAACCTGGTTTGCATAGTCTGCACGTTTAATCACTTTAAAACCTCTAACATTATCTCATGTCCATTAAATAGAACCAACAATGCTGGGCCTGTTTAAATTACAAGGAAAAAAAAAAAAATCACTGTGCACCAACCCAGTATCTTACAAAAACAGCCGGGCTGGCCACAAAAGGGGTATGGAAGAGGAGGGAGCACCCGTGGGCAGGTGACTGGGGACCCCAAAGGACTAGAGGAAAGAAAAGGGTGCTCCAGGGGGAGGGGACTGATTGTCCTAATGGGAGGGGTGCAAAAGGCACGTCAGAAGAGGGGTTTGGGGGGGGCATAGCAGGTCAGTGCTTTCTCCATCAGGGCACAGTGTTGGAGGGGGCTTGGTGCCACCCCCTGGCCACCCCTGGACTTGGAGAATCGGTGACCCACAAGCCCTTGCCACAAGCCCCATTTGAAACACAGATGTCCGCCTGCCCCTCCTGCCATGACCCCCTTTCCTCGAGCCTGCAAAGCTGGCCTGCCCCTTCAGGACTTGGGGCTCAGCTACTCCTCACTCCTCAGCCACACACTGCAGCCTCCTCTGCCTCAGGGCTGGGCAGCCAGGGGACAGCAGCGTAGGCAGCAGGGTGAGAGGTCCAGCTGCTACCCCCATTACAAATACAAAAAACAAAATCATCAGCATCTAAAGTGAAATCATCACAAAGTGAAAATATATCCTCAAACAGCTCCTGAGATCCCCACAGGGGAAAGCAGCATTGGGTGGGAGGCGGGAGAGGCCGGCTGGGCCACTGTCCCTCCCCACCACCCACCCAGGGGCTCTGGGACTGTGAATGCCAACAGCCCAGGTGGCCCGGGGCTCAGAAAACAGGGGCTTGGGCCCTGGTGGGAGGGGAAGGTGCGAGAGAGGACAGGGTGGTCAGGATACCATCTTGGGCCTCCCCAGCTTGGCCTGGCCCAATGGAGGATGCGGCACAGAGGCAGACAGAGGGATGGGATGCCACCCGAGCACACCTGGAAGCACCTGCCTGCCTTGGTCCCTTCCTGTGATCGCACTTCTGCTGAGGGTCACCAGAGGTATGGGACAGGGTTGGGGATGCAAAGCCCTTGGAGAAGTGGCCGCCTCCTGCAAATCCCTCCTAGGCCAACCACCCTACTGCCTGGATGGGACCATTATTGCTTTAGAGGGACAGGAAGGAGCACGCATTGCAGCTGGGTGTGGGACCCGAAGAAGGGCTAGCCCCTCCCTCCAAAGGGACTCTGCATGCCTCAGCCTCAGCCTCAGCCTCAGCCTCAGCCAGCTGCCTCCCAGGTGTGGCTCCATCCTCCTGTGAGGGTGAGGGGTGAGAGGCCCTCCTGCCCGCCCTCCCCAGCTGACCTGGGCCCCAGTTCAGCAGCCAGGTGGGCTCCAAGGTGGGTGGGAAGCAGTCTCTGCCCCTCTTGCCTCCCAGCTGGGGTTCAAACCCAGTCCCAAGATAAAAAAATACTTTGGTGAATTAAAAAGTGCCCAAGGAGGGGATGGGCTTGAGGAGGGCGGCAGCGGGCTCATCAAAGGGCGCTCTGGTCTTTGATAAAGGCGGTCCTCTCGCCCCGGCCCTCGTCCTCTTCTGAGTCGGATGGGCATTCCTCCTGCCAGGCCTCAGGGGGTAGCCCCTTGTAGGAGATGAGGCCCCGGTCCATGGTGTACACCTTCACCCCCCGGAAGCTGAAGCCTGAGCGCAGCTGCAGGACCAGGAAGACAGTGACAAAGACCAGCACGATGAAGGCGCAACTGAGGCCAGCTACCACCTCGGGCAGGTGGGAGGGCAGCAGCCCAGCCTGCAGCCGTGGCTCAGCCTCCACCTCTGGGGTCAGCCCTGGGGGCGGTGGCGGCTGCTCTGGCGGGGACTCTCGGCTGCTCTGGCTCTGCCGGGAGCACATTCGCTCCACAGGGTCCAGGGAGGCATGGCTGGGGCAGCTGAGGCAATCTGTGGGGGCTGGGCCCTGGCATGTGGCACAGGAGGCGTGGCAGGGGGCACAGACGCTGGCCCGAATGGTCTCAACGTCATTCTCGGTGCTGTAGTGGGTGTCGAGGACTTGGGGGGTGAAGCCTGGTGGGCAGTGCTGGATGCAGCTTTTCTGGTGCAGGGAGAACCCTTCTTCACACACTGGCAACATGGAAGAAAAGGGATGGTGTCAGCCAGGTGGGCCATGGCTACGGCACCACACGAGCCCTCGGCCTAGGTCTATGGCAGCCCACGCAGCCCTGGCACCACTCCCACAAGTCCCTGAGTCTGTCTCTCTGTCTGTCTCTCTCTCTGTCTGTCTCTCTCTCTCTCTCTCTCTCTCTCTCTCTCTCTCTCTCTCTCTCTCTCTCTCTCGTGGTCCTGGGGATTGAATGCAGGGCCTCTGCACTGAGCTACATCCCCAACCTTTATTATTCTGAAAGAGTCTTGCTAAGCTGCACAGGCTGGGCTCACTGCAGTCCTCCTCCTTCGGCATCCTAGAGCGCTGGGATTACAGGACTGCACCACCATGCCTGGTAAGACCCAGGCTCCCTTGAGACCATTTTCCTCCTACAGCTGGGCTTTAAGGTTGTTCCCCCTGGCCCTGCCCCCACACCCACATCCCCCTCAACTGACCGACGCAGGCCTGGCTGGATGTGAGGGTCTTGCAGCCGCTGCTCTCCAGAGGTGTAGGGAGCCCCTCAGGGGCTGTGCCGTATAGTATGAGAGTGAACTTGGTCAGCGTCCCTGTCCAATTGGAGGCAGAGGCAGGAGTCAGGAGGCGCTGGCACCACACACAGCATCCCAGACCACGCCAACCCACCTCCTCGCCCCCTCCCCCCAGCACCCCCGGCACTCCAGTACCATAGTTGTTGGCTTCGCTGGTGTTTTCAATCTCCAGGACCCATTCGCCAGACGGGTCCTCATCCCAAGAATGGGTTGTCATGAAGGCCCAGTCATTAAACCCATCTGCAGAGTAGTCATGTGGCCTAGGGGAGGGAGTGTATATGGCCATCTGTGGCCTTGGGAGGCCCAGGCAGAGACACCCAACCCACAACCATGGGCCATACACTCTGACCCCATGTGACACCAACCCTGATGGATTGGAAATGCCTATTGGCCTGGCTGTTTCCTGGGGGCTGAGTGGTCTCCACCAGGGGACTCTAGAGGTGTGAAGCACTTCACACGGGAACACGCGCTGCTGGCATTAAATAGGTAGAAGCCAGGGATTCCTGGGACAGGACCTCACACAGGACAAAGCTGTCCCTCTCCAAGTGCCACCAGTGTCCCACTGAGTAGTATGATGGCTGCCAGGGGAGTATGGGTAACAAGATGAACAGAGGCTGCAAGGGAGCAGAGGAGGCAAGATAAGGCAGGCAGGGGACAGGGCCAGCACCTTGCAGCCAGAAGGGTAGAGCGGGTGCCCATGGGGCTGACCAGGTGGATGGCCAGGTCGCCGCGGCGGTTATAGGACAGGGTGAGGCGCGCCTGAGCATGTTCCAGCCTGGTGATATGGGTGGGCTCGCCCAGGCAAGCAGTCACTGTCTTGCGCACCTCCAGCCGCTTGCCAATGTCCCTGTGCAGAGAGCACCATGATGCCGAGTCACTGGGCCTGGAGCGACAAGCACCACACCCACAGCTCTGAAGCCACCCCACCCCCCACTCCAGCAGGGTCCGATCCTCACCTGGGCTCAGTGAGGATTTCAATGATGCACTTCCGCTGGGGGGCAACTGTGGTCCAGTTCTGGGCCAGGGCCACCATGGCACCTGCATCCAAGAGCCCATAGCCATAGGAGTGGCTCACTGCAGGGACAGGGAAGACAGGGTCACAGACAGGAACAGAGAGGCCCACTGACAATCCACAAACCTGCTGCCCTCACCTTTCCGGCCCACGCCATTGGTGGCCCAATCATTGGCATTGAGATGCGCTGGCTTTGAGGTCCGGACCACCAGGTGCTGCATATCCCGCCAGGTGAGGTTCTTACTGCAGGGGAGGAGCAGACAGCGGGGGTTCAGGCTTTCTGGAGAGAAGTCGAATTTCCAAGGCTGCCCCACAGAGAGCACAGTAGGTACAGGGCTGCCCACTTACTTGGCCTCCAGGGTGAGAGCGATGATGCCAGCTGCCAAGGGAGCAGAGGCTGAGGTGCCTGTGTGAGACTCTGTGCACTTCTGCCGCAAGTCAGTTGTCACCTACCAGGGGACAGTGGTATTGGGGCCTGTGATGAACGGAGGGGCCACCTGTCTGCCCTCCTTCTGCCTAGTGCCTGGAAACCATAGGTGGCGCAGTGAGCCAGGGTCAAAGCCACCCAGTCTGGAGCTGCCTTGCTACTTGCCCTGGACAGATCAATGTATGGTTCCTTTAGGCCTCAGTTTTCCAAGGAATGAGAGGGTTCAGCTAGAGGTTGGAGAGCATTGCACACTTTTAGGGACAGTCTACACTTCTCAAGGGCTTTATCAATGGCTTTGCAGCCCTCAGAGTCTAGGAACCTCCAGCTCCCATCCTCTAGAGCCTGAGCCGATACAGATACACAGGAGAGGAAGAGACAGATGTGTACGAAAGGGTCCTTGAGCATGGCGGGCAAGCAGCCTCCCTCCCAGCCCCAGCAAGACTCACGATCTGCTTCTCATTCTGGTTGCCGCTGCTGTAGGTAGTGGCCAGCGTGGATGAGCAGGCCTCACTGTACCAGGGCACGTTGCCAAACTGCGTGGCACTGCTGATGGACAGTGTGTAGATGCTGTTGGTGTAGCCATCACAGTTGCAGCTGTCATGTTCCCGGCCCCCATTCCCTGAGGCCCAGACAAAGATGGAGCCCAGCCCACCACGGCCCTGTGGACAAAGTGCACTGGGGTCACTCAGGATAGGGACTAGGGGAGGCCTGGCAGGAAGATGGTGCTGGAGAGTCCATGTTGACCTTGAACTTATGGCGATCCTCCTGCCTCAACCTCCTGAATGATGGGAACAGGGGAGTGTCACCACACCTGGCGTGTGTGCCCCTTTATTGATTTATTAATTTACTCTTTGTGGTGCCGGGGCTCAAATCTAGGGCCTTATGCATACAAAACATGCCCTCTACCACTGAGCTCCCAGCTCCCAGCCCTCAGCCCTTGATGTTTTTACTTCATTTTTTTTTTTTTTTTTTTTTTTTTTTTTTTTT